TAGAAGCTGACCCTACTGATGACATCCAGGCACCTGAGCTACCGAGAAGCRGGTGTCTCTAAAGACCTCCCCCAGGGGAGGAACAAGGCCTGGTCCCTTCTCCTTTGCCCATGGGTGAACCCAGTCTCCAGGAGAAACAGTATCTAGGATCTGGGGGGCCTGCTGGCTAAGACCAGACTTCCTGCACCTTTTATTTAGTTCACACATGCACGTGCTCACTTGCACACACACACACACACACAAATGCACAGTGCTATTGGACAGTGAACTGTGGAACAAGTTTCTGCATAAAGGAACCCCCAAGCTATCACTAACCATGGGTTCATTCCTCTGGGGGCCAACCCTCTTTGTCTGAGCTGTGCCACTTGGGCCCAGTGGCCTCAGATTCAGGTTGGGAGGATCTGCTCCTAGGCCTTGGAAGCCTCCTGTCCCTGTGTTCTGTGGCTTCCCAGATAGAACACAGGCCCTCTGGAGCCTGCTGGCAGGTGAGTTTAGGTCCCCTGTCAAGCTGAGGCCCTAGTGAGGCTCATGGCTCATGTGGCATTCAGGGGCTGAGGCATGGGCCTCAGCAGGAGGGAGGCTGGAGGGAGGCTGCTGTGGCCCTGTTGCATGATGGCCCCACATGGTGAAGGAGTGTTTGGTTCAGCCTCAGAGGGATTAATTTGGACCTTCATTATCACATATATGATGTGTCCTGAACAAGTCCCTTCTCAGGGTCTCAGTTTTCTGAGAAATGGGGAAATGCACATACTTAGCAAGTATTAGGTCACTGTGCTACCTGAGATGCCCTGAAGAGCCTGGGGACAGAATCTGCCTGCCTGGGCTTCCCCTCCTCCTTCCCCCAAGGAGTTCAGGGCCCTTACCTATGCCCTCTGTGTCTAGGCATTTGAATTGCTGACTTTGTATGCCTCTGGCCCCATCCAGCCTTAGCTTTTTGAAGGGAGGTTACCTATCTGTGATTGCTGGACCTCTGGACCACCCTCAGACCTACACCCTGTTGAAAGTTCCATAGATACCCTGAGTGAACCAAAGAAACACTGATAGGATCACACCTTTGAGGTGCTTATGGTGCCCTGGAAACTAGAGGGCACTGAACTGGTGCAGGGGATGGGGACCCAGGGTGGCCTGGTAGGTTGAGGAATAGTGGTCTATCCTGTTCACCCCATATGTGGAGCCACAGAGAAGTGGGGCAAGTGACATCTCATCAGTCCCCTCTTGAGATGGTGCTGCAGGTCCTGCCAAGATGGCTAAGGGTGTCTTTTCACAAACTCAGGGAAGCTGACAAGTGTACTTGGGTACAGAGTGTGTTGCATGGACTTCTGCTGAGACCTTTAGACTTTCCCAGTTCCCGGAGAGGGAGCTGCAGCACATGCCTCCCACTCTTATTTTATTTTTAAAACTATTTTTTAGTTGTCAATGGACCTTTATTTTATTTATCTATATGGGGTGCTGAGAATCAAACCCAGTACCTCACACATGCTAGGCAAGTGCTCTTCCACTAAGCTGTAACCCCAGCCTACGTGCCTCCCACTCTTGTGGGATCAGAAGAGTATCTTCAAAGAGAGGCTATCCAGGTCTTGGGGTCCTCCTTCAGGAGTCACAGTGTTCTCTGAACAAGAAGAGTTGAATAAGGGCTAATGGAAACTGTATGGTCACAAAGTGAATAAGATGACACTCTTAAGTCCAGAGAGGAGGAGAAGAGATGGGTCAGATCACCAGCATGCAGGGTCAGGACTGACCCTCATGCTYCCCAAGTACAGATAGACCAGTGTTGCCTCTAGGCCCAAACTGTACCTGCCACAAGACTATCCAAAGGAATGGGACCTTCCTGTGAAGACCTCCCCCCACATAGCCTGAGGGAACAGAGACCTTATTTAAGGTCAGAGCCTGCAAATTGGATGCAGACCAGTGGGAGAAAGCAGGAAACCAGGGCTTTGTTCTCATAGCCGGGCTCTGGCCCCTCCCTCCCACCGCTGGCCCATCAACTAGTTAAACTCAAAGCTTCGATTTCTCATCCTGTTGGCAGCATCTCCTGTCCCCACCCCAAAGGCTTGATCCCAGAAAGTTCCCTGGGTGAGGAGGGGGCCCTTACTTCTAGAAGGAGAGGTGTTACTGTAAAGGGGTAAGAGGCCTTGGTGCGCCCCCCCTTCCTGTGTGACACTCTGCATGGCACCACTCCTCCTCTGTGGCCTTGCCCCTGACAACTTGAGGTGTCCGGGGCCTGACCTCTCTCTCCCCTCTCCTGGGGCTTCCCCTAGCAGGGAATCCTCCTAGCAAGGTTCTTTCTTAAGGGTCCTCAGAGGTGCACTCTTGGCCCACAAGCTTCACAGGACATACCCACTGGCCGAAGCCCCCTTTCTCTCTGCTCTTTCCTCCTCTGCTTTAGGCCTCCACCCTCAGAGTTCCTTGGCTCTTCCGCAGCTCTGCTTCTCACTGTGTAGCAACAAGGGAGAGGGTGGCCTTCCCCTTTTCAGGCCAGCCCAGTCCTGCTGTGAGAAGCGGGAGGGAGGGGGAATGGGGTGAAAGGTCATCTGGGTCTCTAGCTGACTCCCCCCAAGGTAGCTCAGGAAAATCCTTGGATGTAGATAAAGATGCTCTGAGGTGTGGCAGGGGCTGGGACTCTGAAGCCCCTTAGTGCTCAAGGTCATGGAGAACAGGAGCCTCCCACTTTCTAGATTGGTTTTGGCTGTGCCTTTGGGGAGTTGGCATATGCTCCTCAGCARAGAGAGAAGATTCCTCACAGGCTCCCTGTTTGATCTCCCTATCCCTGGCAGAGCCCCAGAGACCGCCTGGGGGCAGATCTTTAAGCTTAGCAGGGATCCCAAGGGGAGGAACTTCAGTCTGGCTTGGAGAGAAGTTGCCCTCTCTTGCCCAGTTGGAGGCCCTCAAACCCTTAGCCCTCCTGGACACAGAGGGTCCAGCTCCCCATGGTGGTGGTGGTGGGGCTTCTGTTCATATTCATGTTGGTGACTCACTGCAGCTAAGGGAAAGGGCTCTTTCTAGTTCTTTTTCATTTTTCTAAATGGCTTCTATTTTCCCTGGCAGAAGATGTCAGGCTCAAATTCAATTCATGTGTGAGCCATTCCCAGAGAAGTGACATTCCAAAGCCCCTCACCCAGCCTTGGGCCTCCAGTATGACACACTCSACCTGGAGCTGCAGAGCAAATTCCCAGAAGCAGTTTTGAGAATGATGAGTCAGAAGTTTGCAGGGGACAGTGGTTTATGAGAGCTTGCTTCACACTTGCTGCCACTAGGACCAGGCTGGGGCCATTAGGGCAGGCAGAGGCCTGGCTGTGAGGGGCTATTTTGAGAGCCCAGGGGCTGGGGCCCATGCTGGTCTCCAGGGGGAATCATGAGCCAAGAGCCAGTAGGGTGTGAATCTGAACACATGTGCTAGGTATGGCACATGCATGATCCACACATAGTAGTAGTGATGAGTACTGTTGAGGTCACTTGCAGAGATCAGAGGGCCAGGAAGGCAGAGCCAGGGTTGACTTCAGGGACCAGCTCTTGACTGTGCCCCTGCTTTCTTAAGGAGAGCCAGTGGGAAAGCAGAGGGAAGGACTTGGAGGACTCTCCCACTCCTGGTGAGTCCTGTCGGTGCTCAGCTCAGCAGCCCCACTGGGATGTGCCTGGCTGCTGCTGTCTGCTCAGGCTGGCCCAGGGCACATCAGGACCCAGGTGCTTCCTGACTTGCTTTTTTTCTCTAAATACATATGAAGTCCAAACTCAATTCTTAATATTTCCAGGGCTCCTGGGTGTTCCTACAGGACTACATTACTAGGGTCAAACTCTCACAACATTGGATTAAGGTTGCTGGCTACTGCTCACCTTGACTTTTGGCTACAAGTGTGCTTTGTCTTGCTTCCTTATTCCTTCAAGGGTGAATTGAATTCCTTATTCCTTCAAGGGTAGAAGCCATGCCCTTAGCTGTGATAGCCATTTTGGGCCAGTCAATATTTGCCCTTCTAGAAGCTAAACACCAAGGCACATGTGGTAAATCTCCCTCTACTGGCACCATGATGGACACCACTGATGGATCCTGATGCCCTGATGCCCAATCTATGTGCCCTTGAGTTCATGTGGTACCTGGAGCCATTAGAAACAGATTTAATTAATTAATTAATTAATTTTGCAGTATTGGTGATTGAACTCAGGGGCATTCCATCATGAGCTACATCCCCAGCCTTTTTTATTTTTTATTTTGAGACAGCGTCTTAATTTGCTCAAGATGGCCTTGAACTAGTAACCTTCCTGTCTCAGCCTCTCCAATAGCTGGGAATACAGGAGGATGCCCAATGCCTGGTGTAAATTCAAAAAACAAAAAACACAGGTATTGGTAAGGGGAAGAAATGAAATGGTAATTTGTCCATGTTTAGACCTGGGGTGATGCCTCTGTCTGAGGCATCTACCCAAAACAGAGCTGCTGAGAGCAGTTTTGTACTGCCCCAGACTAGAAAGTGAATTCTCAATGTGCTGTTCTTCCTGTAAGCACAGGGATTGGTCCTGCACAAACCTGGTGAAGTTGGCGGGACAAGTGCGGGAAGTTGACACTGGGTGGCTGCAGGTGACATTTCGAAGAGCCCTCCCGCAAACGCTTCACAGAGTGGAAAGGATGGGGTGACCAGAACCCTCACGACCCATAGTTCCCAGGCACCTCTGGCAGGCTTGGCGAGTGCTAAGATCAAAGTGGGGTAGAGGCATTGGCTTCGTCAGATACTCACCCCCARACCGTACCTTTTCTTCTCCTAGGACCTTCATCCCCCCCAGTCGTCCCTGCCACCCAGACCCTCGGATACTCGGTGCTGGGCTCCGGCCTCCAACAGGACAGCGCTGGTAGTCCGCGCATTGGGAAGTGCCAAGAGTGCGGCGCCCTAACTGCTCCACCCCCCCCCCATCCCCGCCCCCGCAGCCCCTCGGTCGGTGCCGGACTCCTCCTTCGCCTCCTCCTCCCTCGGGGGGTGGGGAGCCCGCTCCGGAAGCCTCGGCGCCCCCGCCCGGGCCGCAGCTAGCGTTTTGGAGGGCGGTCCGCGCGGGAGCTCGCCACGCGGGGCWGGAGTGCCCAGTCGCCGCCAGCGCTTTGGAGCGCCCCCGACCACCCCCGAGCCGCATCAGCCTCAGAGCCCGCCGAACTTCTCTCCAGACCTCCCCTCATCTCGGAAACCCTTTCCCACCCTCTTTCAGATCCCCTTGCTCCCGTGCCACCCACACCCCTTCCCAGAATCCCCTCCCCCGCACTTTTCTGCACCCCTTTCCGGAGGATCCCCGCCCCGCTCCAGTTCTCAGAACCCCTCTCCCGCTCCTGCCCCCAGCGCCCCTGCCCCACACCCCCACACCCCTTGCCGCGGCCATGGCCGTGCGCACCGTGCCCCTGCTCGGCTGCCTTCTGGCACTGCTAGCACTCTGTCCTGGGGGGCACCCACAGACGGTGCTGACCGACGACGAGATCGAGGAGTTCCTCGAAGGCTTCCTGTCAGAGCTGGAGCCCGAACCTCGGGAGGACGACGTGGAGGTCCCGCCGCCTCCCAAACCCACCCAGCGCGCCCGCAAAGCCCAGGCAGGGGGCAAGCTGGGGGCGGGTGCAGAAGGTGAGAGCCTGGGGCCGGGACGACCCCTGGGGGGATTGGCACCTTAGGTGAGCATGAAAGGACTTGAAGGGCCTGGCTCCTCCCCAGACTGTTCATGGTGAGGACTTGCAACCGCGCCTCTTGGGACGCTGTGCCAGGCGAGGGCAGTGCTGGCACGGAGCCCTGGGACCTGAAGGCACATCCAACACAGGGTAGTAGGGCCGCTTTTGGGGGCCAGTGGATACAACTGTTCTAATAGCTCATCCCCAGGCCCCAAGAGGGTTTAGGCTAGGCTAGGGAACTGTTACCACCCAGCTGTCCTTCCTGACAGGCCCTCTCTTCAGGCCACACCCCCACCCCCACCCCACGCCTGCACTTGCCCACCTACCCCAAGAGTGCACAGGTATGGGGAGGGGCTGCTGAAGACCTATGGCCCACGGCCATAAGTGGAAGTGGGCAGTGGGCAATCCTGGATTATTATGAGAATTACATGAGGTGATGCATCACCAAGGCATGTAACCCAAGGTTTCTTATGTAATCAGTTGTCAATAAATCTTGGCTGTTTCCCGTGGCTCTCTGGAGGGTGGCAAAAGATCTTATGATCTTTCTCCCAGGAGACTCTAAGGCACCATTCATCCTTCTTGAGGTCAGCAGATTCCTCCTCCTGCTCCCTGTAGCCCCAGCTGTAGATCTTTCCCGACTCTCCTTGTACATCTCACCTCCCGGCACCTTCAGCAGCCCAGGCTTGCTGTCTAGGGTTTTTGAATATTGCTGGAACTGGCCTTCTCCTGGTTGTTTTGTAACTTTCCTGTATTTCAGCCAAACTGCCTTCGTATCTCCCATCCACCATTAAACTCACAGCAGCATTTGCAGCTCCTGCTAATGCATCCTGGGAGGATTCCCATGGGACAGCCCCACCTGGGGCACCTGCTCCCAGACTCCCTGAGATGACCTGGCAGCCAGAAGCTCCTAGACTATTCCTCTGTCCCCTGTGTGGCCCTCAGGTCCCCAACCCATCCAAGATCTCTTACTTTTTCTTCTTTTGGGGACCTCAGGACCCACCAAGTGTGCCTTTTCTTTGAAGTTTCTTTGTCTTTGCAGGGAGACCCCAGGTCCATGTCCTTCAATTTGTATGATAATTGCAGGGATGACTGTTGCTTCTTCAGGCCTGCATGATTTAGTCACCTCTCTGTCCCTTCCATGTCCAGCACAGAATGGTACTCCATGACTGATAAAGGGACATTTGGTGAAGGAGTGGATTGTGGAGGGCTCCTCTTGAGGTTTTGGCAGATGTAGGCCTCTCCCTGGATCTGAGTGTCACACATTTAGGCTTTAGAGAGGCTGAGATGTGATGGTGACAATCCCAGACTCACAGAAAGCTGAGGCTCAAATACTAGGTGTGCCACAGTGTTTAACCTCTTAGTTTCCTGAACTGCTCTGGGGACTGATAAGAGCCTCTGTACCCAAGTTGTGGGCATCCTGAGTGGCCACAAGGAGACAGAGTGGGCTCTAAATCTTAATCTTGGACAGTACCTCCAGAAAAGACTAAAGACAAAGGGAAGAAAGCGAAGAAGGACAAAGGCCCCAAGGCAACCAAGCAGCCCCTGGAGGGGTCCCCGAGGCCTCCCAAGAAGGGGAAGGAAAAGCCACCCAAGACCACTAAGAAGCCCAAGGAGAAGCCACCCAAGGCCACCAAGAAGCCCAAGGAGAAGCCACCCAAGGCCACCAAGAAGCCCAAGGAGAAGCCACCCAAGGCCACCAAAAGGCCCCCGACCGGGAAGAGACTCCCCACTCCAGCCCCTGTGGAAACCTTGGAGTGGCCACTGCCCCCACCCCCCAACACCAACCTTGGGGAGCCACCTCAGGAGGGAGGTTTGTGCCAGGTTTCTCTGGGGTTATGGGGCTCTGACCTCTATTAGAGGCTGGGAATGGGGAGGGTAGGTCCCTGGAACTCTTCTCCCTACAAACAAAGTAGGATTTGGGGCCTCATTTTTTTTTTATCATGAACTTGGCAATTTGACCAGTGAGTTTCCTCAGAGCTGTAGCCTCTCCTGGGGAGGAAGAGGGCTTGGTAGCTTGGGGATGGGGATCTCTGTCCCCAGCTGTATGAACTTTCAGGATTCTTTCCTGTCTTCCTTGGTGTCAACAGCCAGCCCAGCTCTCTGGCTTCAGGGTTGCTAGCAGGGTACCAGGAGTGCTCACTCCAAGGAGTGTGGGTTTGGCAGTATGTCCACAGGGCCTGTGATGGCTGGTGGCCTTAGGCTGTCAGGATGGTTAGGACAGGCCCCCATCCACCTGCTCCTGGGGCATCTGTGTTGCAGGAGAAGCCTTCCCAAATACCTGGCAGGGTCAAGGAGAGGAGATCCATGTAGAGGCCGGAGAGCACCAGCCTGGTGAGTGGCTGTCATCCTTCTGGCCTCGGGGTGACAAACCACCTTGGCTTGCTGCACTTGAGGGGTTTCCCAGAGTGGGGTTTTTAGTAGCCACTGGCATCTTCCTTTAGTGCCTGAGGAGGAGACTGAGGTGCCCACTCTGGACTACAATGACCAGATAGAAAGGGAGGACTACGAGGACTGTGAGTAGACTGCTGTCCCAGTGGCTCAGACCTGGCCTGGGTAATGGTGGCCCTACCTGAGGACTCGTCTCAGCAGGGCCAATCAGATTCTGCCTCCCCTCAGTTGAGTATATCCGGCGCCAGAAGCAGCCTAGGCCACCACCCATCAGGAGGAGGCTCTGGCCAGAGCGCCCAAAGGAGAAGGTTGAGGAGCCAGAAGAGAGGAAGGAGATAATTGGTAGGATGGGGGGCAGAAGGGGAAAAGATGCAGGGGAGGGGCTCTGGCCTACCCCCAACTCCACACCTCCACAGAGCCACCTCCAAAGCCTGTGCTGCCCCCTGACTACGGGGATGGCTTCGTGATCCCTAACTATGATGACAGTGAGTATCCAGTGTCCTAGAGTCTGAGGGATGTAGGTGAGTGGACACATGGGGCCAGGAATCTGGCCAGGGACTGGGCCTTCCCTGCCTGCTTTCCTGGCTCCTGACTTTGCCTTTATCCCCACAGGGGTGTCCCTAGGCTTTCAATTCCATGCAGGCCCAGCCCTCCCTGTCCTGTGTCTCCTTCCTCCCAGCTCTTTGCTATCTTTCCTGAGGGTCACCTTGCTCCAGCTCATCATCCCCAGTGCTTGTGGCACCTGCAGATTCCCTCTCTCCTGGGCTATGGGTTTGAGCAGGTCCTTATTCTTTTCCTGCCTCCAGATCCCTGTCAGTTCCTCCAACCCTYTCTCTAGCTCAGTCCTCACGGTGCCATAGGGTGCCAGCTGCCACTCAGGCATGTCACCTGCCCTGGTACCACTCTCTGCCCAGTCTTGATTCCTTCTTGCCTCAGGCCAAACTGCCTTGTGGGACCATGTTGGGGACCTCAGCAGGGTCTTGTTTGTCCCACCCGATGCCCCACCCTCTCATAGGAGGACCCCTCTCCTCTTCTTAGCCTGTCCCCGAGATCCCTACCTCCCTCCCCTCCTGCCCAGTCCTGCTTTGTGGGCTCCTGTGAACCCAGGAACCAAGGCCCCCAGAGCAGGATCAGAGCTGCCTCAGCCAAGCTGTCTCTCCCCACAGTGGACTATTACTTCCTGCCTCCTCCGCCACAGAAGCCCCATGTTGAGTTGGAAACAGATGAAGAGAAGGAAGAGCTAAGTGAGTGGGACCAGGGCCACCCCCTACGGCCAGCTCTGCCTGCCAGACATCCTCCTCATGTGCCCTAGCTCAGCCTGACCCCCCATATGCCCTTGCTTAGCTTCATCCATGAGTCCAAGCTCATCCTGACTTCCCAAATGCTCTAGCTAAGCTTCACCATATGTCTTAGCTCATCCTGACCCCCCAAATACCCTAACTTAGCCTGACCAACCTCCAAGTACACCAGCTCAACCTGCCCACCTACTATATGTCCCAACTCAGCCATTTCACAGCTTAGTCTGTTACTCACACGTCCCAGCTCAGTCTGACCACACCCATGCTGAGGCCCAGGATGACAGACCTCTTACCTTGCATCCTCCAGAGAAACCCAAAAARGGCAGCAGCCCCAAGGAGGAAACAGAGGACAAGTGGGCTGTGGAAAAGGGCAAGGACCAAAAAGGTGTGTGGCTGGTCCCCATGGGGCATCTTGACTCTCGTTGCCTTGGGCTCTTGGATCTAGCTCCTCCCTTGTCYACAGGTCCCCGAAAGGGCGAGGAGCTGGAAGAGGAGTGGGCTCCAGTGGAGAAAATCAGTGAGTGGGGATGGGGTAGGGATAGGACAAAAACTAGCTTAAGACCATACACCAAACAAAATTGCAGCTGGGGCAGGGTTGGGAGTGAGGAGGGCCTTGGGTGAAAATCGAGGCCTCCAGCTGCCTTTACAGGTGGACATCCTTGTGGGGGCCAGTGTGCAGATGACCTCATCATCTGGGTGAAGTCATGACTGGCAGGGYTCTGCACGGGATTTAATGTGAGTCCTGGGTTCCTGAGAGCTGAGCACCATCAGTATGTTCTTTCTCCAGATAGGGCAGCTGTGGCCCAAGCAGGGGAAGCAGAGCCACAAGCTGCCACAGCCTACAATTAGCATCTCTGATTTGAGGGGAATGGGCTGTAGGCCCTGTGGTTCTGGGCTGGTGGAGGGAGATCTGAGCCCCTAGCCATCAGCCTGGGGTGTGTGTCCTCAGAGTGCCCGCCCATTGGGATGGAGTCGCACCGCATTGAGGACAACCAGATCCGCGCCTCCTCCATGCTGCGCCATGGCCTAGGGGCACAGCGTGGCCGGCTCAACATGCAGGTGGGCRAGTGGTTGGCCCATCCCCTAGCAGGCAAAGGGCTCTTCCACCCATGCTCAGCACCTACTGTCCTGGACAGGCTGGTGCCAATGAGGATGACTACTATGATGGGGCATGGTGTGCTGAGGATGACTCACAGACCCAGTGGATTGAGGTGGACACCAGGAGGACTACTCGGTTCACTGGCGTCATCACCCAGGGCCGAGATTCCAGCATTCAGTACGTGGCTGGGCTCTTGGGAAGTTGGCAAGGTTTGGAGTCCCATTTGGGACATTTCAGTCAGCCCCTGAGCTGGTCCAGAAAAGCCAGTAAAATCCATGAGTRGCCAGCCTTGCCCCTGACCCTCAGCCATGGTAGTTAGCCCCTGAGTTCAGATGAGCATGAGGTCAGGGACAAGCTACCACCCACAGCCATGGACAGGCACAGGACCTAGTACCTGATGCCCAAGTAAAACTCCATAGCCCTGCTGGTTCAGAAAGGGGGATTAGGTCACCTGGGGCCTGGGGCCTGGTGTAGGAGAGAAGCCTTGCCCTGACAACATCTTCTCCACAGTGACGACTTTGTGACCACTTTCTTCGTGGGCTTCAGCAATGACAGCCAGACATGGATGATGTACACCAATGGCTATGAGGAAATGGTAGGCACCTGAACCCTGTGCTGTTTCTGTTGTGTGGGCCAGAGTGGGCTCTCAGAAGGGGTAGGAGTGCTATTCTGAGGCCTGTCCCTCCCCAGATCTTCCATGGGAATGTGGACAAGGACACACCTGTGCTGAGTGAGCTTCCAGAGCCAGTGGTGGCCCGATTCATCCGGATCTACCCACTTACCTGGAATGGCAGCCTGTGCATGCGCTTGGAAGTGCTGGGCTGCCCTGTGACTCGTGAGTATGGAGGGGCTGGCCAGGGGTTGGGGTGGCTGGAGTTGATTTGTGGGTGAGTCAACATCAAGATCCCGACTGCCTACCCCTCTGCAGCTGTCCACAGCTACTATGCACAGAATGAGGTGGTGGCGACTGATGACCTGGACTTCCGGCACCACAGCTACAAGGACATGCGCCAGGTTAGAAGCCTGTGTCCCATGCCAGGGTGGGCCCTTTGCAGGGGTGACTGGAACTCATACCAGCCCAGTCCTGCTGATTCAGGGGCCCAGCCTCCCTTAGAGGGATGTTGACTGCCCCTTGACTTAGGAAGACTAGAACCTGTGGGCCACCTGAGAGGGGCTGGGTTTAGYTATCCATCCCATAAAACAGATCAGGACAGAGGAAGAGGCATGGTCAGTGATGTGGTGCCCTCTCCCTGCCAGCTGATGAAGGTGGTGAATGAAGAATGCCCCACCATCACCCGCACATACAGCCTGGGAAAGAGCTCACGAGGGCTCAAGATATATGCCATGGAGATMTCGGACAACCCTGGGGATCATGAGCTGGGTGAGGGCCTGAGGGCATCATTCTGCTAGCCCTGGCTGCCTGGCCCTGAGCTACTTGGCTCAGCTTCCACTCCACAGAGGATCAGAGGCAAGACCCTGGCACTGCAGCAGGGCCTGTGCAGTTGCTATGTGGAGTTCACCACCTCCTGCTTGCTCCTGGAGTCCCTCTGGGGATCCAGGCCTGTCTTGCTGGGCACCATAAACCTCAGCTGCTCCCTGCCCCCTGTCCCCTGGTGTCTGGGTCCTTTTTCAAATGCCCTGGGCCTTGTGAGACTGAGTGCTTGCTGTGGCTCCTGCCCTTTCAGGGGAGCCTGAGTTCCGCTACACAGCTGGAATCCATGGCAACGAGGTGCTGGGCCGAGAGCTACTGCTGTTGCTCATGCAGTACCTGTGCCGAGAGTACCGTGATGGGAACCCCCGTGTGCGCAACCTGGTGCAGGACACTCGCATCCATCTGGTGCCCTCACTGAACCCTGATGGTTATGAAGTGGCTGCACAGATGGTAGGTGGGACCTGGGGCTGGCCAGGGAAGGGTGGGGGTTGGGGGATGAGCAGCTGAAGAGGCCAAAGCTGACCCTGTTGACTTCTCACAGGGCTCAGAGTTTGGGAACTGGGCACTGGGGTTGTGGACCGAGGAAGGCTTTGACATCTTTGAGGACTTTCCGGATCTAAACTCTGTGCTCTGGGGAGCTGAGGAGAGGAAATGGGTCCCCTACCGGGTCCCCAACAATAACCTGCCCATCCCTGAGCGCTACCTGTCTCCAGATGCCACGGTGAGGAATTAACCCTGAAAATCTGGGCTGGGGGAGTAGGAAAGTGGCTTAACCTCAGGTGCTGAGATTTAGGGGCTGGGAGAGAGTCAGAGGGACATTACGGGATGAGGAGAGTGAGCCACTGTCATGAGCATCTATGGAGGATGGAGGGGGTATGATGATGGGAGCCTTGGCCTCTTGTGCTGGCCACCCCCAGGTATCCACGGAGGTCAGGGCCATCATTGCCTGGATGGAGAAGAACCCCTTTGTGCTCGGAGCAAATCTGAATGGTGGTGAGCGGCTCGTATCCTACCCCTATGATATGGCCCGCACACCCAGCCAGGAGCAGCTGCTGGCTGCAGCCATGGCAGCTGCCCGTGGAGAGGATGATGAAGAGGCATCTGAGGCTCAGGAGACCCCAGACCATGCCATCTTCCGCTGGCTGGCCATCTCCTTTGCCTCTGCTCACCTCACCATGACAGAGCCCTACCGAGGAGGCTGTCAGGCTCAGGACTACACCAATGGCATGGGCATTGTCAAYGGGGCCAAGTGGAATCCGCGATCAGGGAGTGAGTCAACCTGGGACGGGCTGTGGTGGGGAACAGCCCAAGGAGAGGCTGACTGATTCTGTCCGTCCGTCCAGCTATCAACGACTTCAGTTACCTGCACACCAACTGCCTGGAGCTCTCTATCTACCTGGGCTGTGATAAATTCCCCCATGAAAGTGAGCTGCCCCGGGAGTGGGAAAACAACAAGGAGGCGTTGCTCACCTTCATGGAGCAGGTAGGGCAGTCTGGGCTGCATGTGGAGAGAAGGGTGAAGTCTGGGACAGGGCCCTCAAAATAGGGTCTCCATGTGGTCCCCCAGCCTCATCTCCCTCCTTCCCACAGGTGCATCGTGGCATCAAAGGTGTAGTGACAGATGAACAAAGCATCCCCATTGCCAATGCCACCATCTCTGTGAATGGCATCAACCATGGCGTAAAGACAGGTACCTTGTGTGCATACCTTTACCCACCTTCCCCAGGTGGAGTCTATCTTGTCCTCCCTAAGTACCCACAACAAAGGGAGACACATCTGTGTGGCACAGGAAGAACAGGAACTAGTGGGCACCTAGAAGAGGTTGGGCTGGGAAGCTCAGAGGGGCAGGGTGGAGCTAAAGAGGCTCTGGGACAGCCAGCTTGTCTTTCCTGTGTAGCAAGTGGTGGTGATTACTGGCGCATTTTGAACCCGGGTGAGTATCGAGTGACAGCCCATGCAGAGGGTTTTACCTCCAGTTCCAAGACCTGCAATGTGGACTATGACATTGGGGCCACCCAGTGCAACTTCATCCTGGCTCGCTCCAACTGGAAACGCATTCGGGAGATCATGGCCTTGAATGGGAACCGGCCCATTCTGCGTGTTGACCCCTTGCGCCCCATGACCCCTCAGCAGCGCCGCCTGCAGCAGCGCCGCCTACAGTACCGCCTGCGAATGCGAGAGCGGATGCGACTGCGTCGCCTCAATACCACTGTGGGTCCCACCACTACTCCAACCCCTGTCCCCAGCCCCACTGCTGCTCCCACCCCAGGCACTACCTGGGGACCCTGGGGCCTTCTACCTACAACCACTGCAGGTTGGGAGGAATCGGAAACCGAGACCTACACGGAGGTAGTAACAGAGTTTGGGACAGAGTTTGGGACAGAGTTTGGAACAGAGTTTGGAACAGAATTTGGGACTGAGTTGGAGCCCGAAGAGGAGGAGGAAGAGGGGGAAGAGGAGGAAGAGGAGATAGCTGCTGGCCCTGCGTTCCCCTTCACAACAGTGGAGACCTACACGGTGAACTTTGGAGACTTCTGAGACCAGGGTCTCATCACCACCTGGCCCAGCTCAAGCTACAGCAGCACTTCCCAAGCCTGCGCCCACAGACACACCCATCAGCACATGGAAGGCCCCTGTGTGGGTCCTGCAGGAGACACAAAGGAGACAAGGACCCAAGAGCCAGTGTCTGTGCAGAGGTTCCTGCCCTGCCTGTCAGCCTTCAGGGAGGGGCAGGGAGGCACCCAAGGTCACACCAATAAAACAAGCTCATGGCACTGACCATTGCTGTTCTGACCAGCTTGAGGGGGAGAGGCTGGCCCCTACTAGGGTCCTATCCCAGGTATGCCCAGGAGGAGGTCAAAGCTCAGACAAGTAAACATAAATGCTTTATTTACAAGGCTTATATTGCAAAGGCAAATGGCCYGGTCCAGCTGCCTCTCTAAATCAGGGGCCCAACCCCAGGCCTCCAAGGTCATCATCCTCTGCTCCAAAACCAGCAAAGCTGATAGGTTGGCAAGCCAAGCTGCGCAGGTTCACCAGGCAGGCAGTCTGGGTGGCACTAAAGTCAGGAACGGCCACCAACAGCACCATTTGATCCTCAGGGCCTACAAAGGAGCCACATTRGATCCACTTAGGGTTCTGGGCAAGGTGTGCCTCACAGGAAAGCCCCCAGAAGTAAAGAGGAGTCACAGTGGGGGTGACATCAGAAGTACACAGCTCAGAGCCATTTCAGCCCCCAGTCAGTCTGGCCYCCTTAAATAAAATAACAGTCACAGGGCAGACCCCAGGCAATCTAGTTCATGGGAGCTTCTCCCCCAGGGAAGAACAAATTGCTCTTGTGAGCYCAGGGTTGTCAAAAGACAAAACTTACCTCGGATGATTTTGGAGCCAAAACTGGGAGTGTTCCCGCAAAAGTAGACATGAGGGCATTCCAGAAAGATGAATGGGTCAGTTTTGTAGAAGGGGTAACAACCTGGAAAGGGGCCTGTTGCTGAGCAGGGCTTCTCAGCCTGTATAGAGGATACCCGGGACTACGCAGTCCTGCCTTGGKGCTACCCTTCACAGGATATACAGCAGCATTCCTCCCCTTACCCACTAAAAGTCACCAGTTGTGACAAAAGTCATGTTACCACAAGACCTGAGGGGCAGGTCAGGGGCCCTGTTGCCTCTGCCCTCAGGGGTGGGGACTGGGGGGTTATACCATGCAAAACCCAAATTTCCAATAWACTCCCATGGTCTTGAGCACTGGGGAGCCATGGCCAAAGACAAATTAAGAGTCTAGAATAGCTTCCAGAACAGGCTTCTCCTTAACAGGCCTGGGCAAGGCAGTGTAATCTCAGGAAACTGTCTTCGCCCGCAGATCCCACCAGTGTGACTATGCTGTTACCTAGGGTGTCAGGAGCTGTGGGGCTGATGTGACGGACTCGCAGAGTCCACTCCAGAATCTCCAAATGGTCTTCCATACTGCTGTATCGGAAAATGTCATTCACATTCTGTCCTGATGTCCCCAGGAACCTGCAAGGCAAGGCTCTGCTGAMCCTTGGCCTGGGGCCCACTGCTTCTGCTCCACCCATAACAGCCAGCCCAGAGCTCATATCATATTTTTGGGATGCTCCAGGCCAACCTTGTACAAGAACCTTTTGTTGCCCTGCCTCCTCCCCAGCCTTCTCCCCTGCTCCTTCTGCTGTACCGGCTACCTGACTCCATCGATGGTGGCCTGGTAGGGGTTGGTGACCAGCTGCAGTGTGGAGTAGGCAGTGGCCAGTGGGAACATGCAGTGGTGCAGGGGCTGCTGGGGGAGCGTATAGTTGGTTGGATCAAATTCACCTGGCATCACGTCCACAGGCACCGAGGCCTAGAGGGCATAGGGCAGGGAAAGCTTACAGGACCTGAGGGAGCTCCCACTTCCCAAGTCAGCCACCCAACCTCCCGATCCCCACTCAACAGCTTCACAGACTGGGGTCTCCACGCCCTGCCAGCCCCCAAAGCTGCTCACACTCAACTGCAGGAGGATCTCATCCAGCATCTTGACTGCTTCCACACTGGCTGCCTGGGTTTTCTTGGTGAGATACTTGGCCTGGGAGTAGAAACCCAGGAAGCCCTTAGGCCCTGAGGTCAAAGGAACACCCAGAGCCCACCTAAGTTCTCAGCTGAGGAAAGCAGAGCAAAGCCCACCAGCGGAAAGATTTAGAGTTGCCTCATAGACCCTGCACCCCACTCTGGCCCATATACCCTCAAGAAGCAGGGCTGCTTGTGAACACAGCCCSAGTGCAGGAGCCCGCCCACTGCAGCAGGAAGGCTGAATACAGCCAGGTAGCYTCCATACCTTGTTGATAGAATCTCTGCTTTGGGTGCTGTGGCTGAGGAGGTTGCCGGCAAGAATAACCCGGGAGACGTGGGCAGCACTGCACTGTTCTCCTTCATCCCCGAGCTGCCCCGTCACCACATCTACCAGCAGTTGAGTCCCCAGCAGGCTCTCGCCACCGCCTCCACCCAGGCCCAGCCCAGACACGAGCAACACAAACCTGCAGAGACAGTGGGGTCCTGCAGGGTGCCATGGAAGGATATACCTCTCCTTGCACTGGCACTGGGGCCCTGGCACTGGGACTCCTCACCTGTCTGTGTCAAGAGGGGGTGCAGGCTTCTGTGGAGCAAGGTCAGCAAAGCAGTGGTCCTCTACCAGAAACTTTCCATCATCTCTCACGGAACCAAACACTGCCAGGACTGTTCCTGGGGAGCAGTGAGGTGGTCAGGTGTTCCCACCTCCTCCCATCACCCAAATGGGCAGAACCACCAGCCCCTCTCAACACACCAGTTAATTAATTTTCTTTAGGACTCTGAAACTAAAGCCAACTTTCTGGGGTCACTGTCCCTGGATAGAGGCTGGAAGATTGGTCTCACCCAGTAATGGCACCCTACTTTCCCACAAACATAAATGCACTAGCCCCTCAAGCACAAGCCCTGACAGCCCCCACAGAGCTCCCCAACACAACCATGGTGAAGTCTCTCCCAACCTCCTACCAATATACCCTCATTGGACTCCCTACCTCCACCACCCTCTCATTGAATTTCCTGTTTCTCCCCATATTAACATATTCATGCTTGGCTCTACCCACTCTCACTGGGCTCCCACCTGTGACCAACTTTGACACATCAATGGTGCCTTTCAGTTTGATACGCTGCAATTCATCTTCCAAGACCAGCTCATCATCTGGGTGGATGTATTTGCTTCGAGGAGGCTGGGGGAGCAGGTTGTGCTGAAAGGCAGAGATGGTAGGTAGTCTTGGGATCAAGGCCACCAAAGTTCCTATGTTTCAAGATGGTACTGTAGCCCCTGCCCCTCTGGACCTGCTCCTTCGCTCTCCATGGGCAGAGACCCATCCCCAACCCCTTGGGTCTATTAGGGTGGCACATCAGTGTCCTCCCACATAGGTCTTACCTCTTCGCTGATCTCACGCAGGATGGAAGGCTGGAGTGGCATGGCCTTGAACAGAGTGCCCACTACACAGCACTTCTCCCCATGCTGCAGCTCACACAGCTTCTTTACTTCAACTTCMCTGCCTGGTGTAAGGGATACAGACTCAGAGAACAGCCCCACCCCTGACCAAGCAAGCGGAGGCCCCTGCCCAGCCCTCTGCGATGGGGCACTTACAAAGACCCTCACCAGAGTGCTGTAGGCCTGGGCCCTTGTCTTTACCAGGAAGGAGAGAACATAAAGTGAAAGACCTCCTGGACCTCAGCACAACAGTGAAGGGGGGTCTGCCAGAGGGACAGAGTCTGTGGGTGTGGTGGGGCCCCAGATGCCAAGTGTCCACCTAAGAGTCAGAAGCAAATAGGGACAGATATGCAGAAGCAAGGCCTTGTGAAGATAGGGCAGGCACCAGAGTTCTGTGGTCACAAGCCTGGGAGGGCCCGGAGCCACCAGAAGCTGGAAGAAGGAGGAAGGATCCTCCCCCAGAGTCTCCAGAAGGAACCAACCCTGTTGACAACTTGATTTCAGATTTCTGGCTTCTAGAATGGAGAGAATAAATATTGTCTTAAGTCAGCAAGTTTGTGGTACTTTATTATAATACCATAGGAAACTAGTACAGAGCATTACTTCACTTATGCCTAAATGATAATAGTCATTCTTAGAAAGAAGCATGCTAAATCCCAACAGAATCCGGCCCTAAAAATATTACAATTTAAGAGTTTTCATTCTTCTGTTCTATCCTCTGTCCCCAAATGCTTCATCCTCTGAAAACAGAGATATCTAAAGGTCAGACATCCTACCCTCTTCCACCCCACTGTGTTTTCTGTTCCTTCTGGAGTCAGGCAGCCCTGATCACCAGGCGTACCCAGGATCCTGGGGTAAGTTAGAACACATCAGAATGTTCTGTACATTCTAGAGGAGAGCTGTAGAGAGCCAGGGTGGGCAGGAGGAAGGAATGCAAGTCTCTAAAGGCCTGTGGACTCATCACAATGGATCTCCATGCCTAGGAAAAACCCCTGTAAGGAGGAGGCACAGTAATGTGAAGATCATGTAGTCCCTCAGCTTAACTGACCCCTGCACAGCCCAACCCTTTCCTGCCCTGGAAGAACCAAAAACATTCCTCAGAGGTACATCTGGGGAAGCACAAAGAGGGGAGTAATTTGAAACAAGATAAGAGGGGCACACCACCAGTAAGAAACACCACACACCAAAGAAAACAACACATTCCTGCTAGAATTTGGATATGGCTTGTCTAGCAAAGGTTCATGTATTGGAGATTTGGTCCCTAGTGTAACAATGTGAGAGGTAGAGAGATGTTTAAGAGGGGGAATCTAGTGGGAGGTCCTTATCTCACTGGGGGAGCAGCCCCCAGAAGGGATTAAAGCTCTCCTAAGAGTGAGTTGTTACAGGAATGAGCCCAGTCCCTGAACTGCTCTCTGGCTTCCAGTTTGTTGATGTGATCTCTCCCCCCCCCCTTTTTTTTTTTTGCATGTGCTCCTACTATTTGCTATGAGGTGCTCACTGGAATGAAKCTGATGCTGGTATCACACCCTTTAACCTCCAGAACTATGAGCTAAATAAACCTCTTTTCTACACAAGTACCTCACCTTAAGAATTTTGTTACAATAACAGAAAATGGACTAATATATGCTCTCACGCCCCAGGTGGTCCCACTAAGCACAGTACACTCAACTCAGTCAATCCTAACAATACACTAAGAATAAATATTATACCCACACTGAGGCATTGAGAGGTTAAGTATTATGTCTAAGGTCACAGAGTTGG